CTGTTACTGTTAAAAAAGGCATAACTTCACGAAGAATTCGTTGTGAAAAAAGTTGCCAGAACTCTTTATGAAATCACAACTCTTCTTCGTTGTCTAAAATTGAGAACTTCAGAAATTATTACGATTATTTTCACAACTATTTCCAAGTAAGATAGAAAAATGAACTTTTTTTGTCTAGAAAGAAGTGTTGTGATTTCATTCACAGTTGTTTCGTATCGTGAAAAAGTTGCGAAATCACAAAATATTTTTAACAATGAGCAGGTTCTCATTTTAAGACATCGACAGTAAGGTGTGATCGTGAATTTACTGTGTACTCTGGTTTCAGTCTTTACAAACGAAATCGCTTGTTAGTTGTAATTCAAGGAAATTGGCTGTAAACTAAGAACCAAGCACGACGCTATCCCTCAGCTTCTAACGACCCGTTCCAATGGTAGTGCCGTCGTTAGTGAACCGATGCCGCAATACAGAACAGCGCTGCCGTGTTAAACTGTATTAAGAATTTACATCACACATTAGGCAACACCCTCACAATGTGTGCAGCCGTCACTCTATTAAGACGAAGGCACCACTTCGCGATTTTAAACGAAATAAGTCGTGCAAATTTCGCAATTTTTGAGCGCTTTAACACCCATGGAAAACTATTGATAAGTTAAAAGAACCCAAAGTACTCCAACACCCCTACAACACATTTCACTGGACCTGCAGTAGACCGGACCGGGTCCAGCGACCGGGGACCGCGCGACCGCGCGGATCCATGGCGTGCATTTGGGCCGACAGACGAGTGACCCAGTTGCCGCATTGCATGTGATCACTCGGCTCATCCATCGTCCCTACACTCCCACAAATCATCCCGCAGGTGGCACAATACGAGGGGGTTACGGACGGACCAGCGGGGCCTCGGTGGCTCCTGGAGGGAAGGTCATAGCGTCATTGTGAGAGGTAACCGCCCCCCCCCCCCACCACCACCAATCCCCTCTCTCAAATGCCCTAAATGTCAGACGCTTTTGATGTGTGTGGAGACTGGCGAAGAAGGCTACCTCGACGGTTCCTTTTTGCATTCTCGCAGCTCATACGAGCACACATCGCTTCACTTGCACGCAAGGGGAGGGGAGACCTTCAACCATACGCTCAAAGGGTTGCGGAGACTGTTTTAAAGAAAACAGAACATAAATTCGTGTGCAGAACGGGCCATAAATTTTTACCAAGTCTTCGCAGTATTTATTTATATTCTCTGAAATACAGTCTAGGCCTAATTCTGAAGTAACGCCCCACTCAGATAAATGAAGTGTTCAACGCGGTAAATGTGCGTTTTCAATAGTTCAACTCAGTATTGTGCGGTTTAGATTGCACACAATTGGTGGAATTGTTCAACAGAGGAGCGTTGAAGACTTCAAAGAGCACAACTATACCCATAGTTGAACACACTAAGTGGACATCTGGCAGTAAAATACTTTTAAGTGTGGAGGGCTGGAAAACTGATTAAACAAGTATTTGCAATCTGGGGCGCAAAATAGAGAGGTGGAAACTTTTAAAAGTACACAACTACAGAGTCGAAGGCGTGCTCGAGCTCAATCCTCAATCAGTGTGTATGAACCGTGAACCGTGTTTAGGAATACGGCTTCGATTGTATTACAGAGAGTACGGTCTACGATGTATTTCAATTTATACGGTCGAGACTGGCTGACCGTATGCTGGAATACAGTCCAGACGTAAGGCACACCGTTGCTTTACTCAATAACAGCTTCTCCAACAGTGGAAGACCTAGACGGGGAGCAACCCCAGGAAAGTCGCTGCCCCCGAGGTGGGGTTGCGCTCGTACGAGAGGTCACTCTAAACGGTACGATTGACTGCCGCCAAAAGTGACCACGCGTCCCTCACGTCCCCGTCTGCCGAGCGTCCCCGCCGACCGACAGGCAGCCACGCAGCCACGCCGCCGCCCCGGGGGGCCGGGGGAATCGCTCTGACGTAACTTACACCGTCTAGTCTGCACCGCAGCCCGGCCGCGGGGTGGAGGGCGGGCCGGGGGCTTACTGCACGACGGCGCCGGGCTCACCGGGACAACGCCTGCTGAAAAAGGACGTTGCCGAACAACGGGAAATGCAATGAGAAGTAATGCACCACCAGGGTGTCAATGGGCTATCAGGTGGAAGGGACCCCGACTCCGGCTGCCGATCCTTGACGTCTAGATCATGTCCCGCCCGCCCTGCACAGCCCCGCCAGGCCGCCGCCGCGGGCGTGACCCGATGAATATGTACAGGAAATATTCCGACGTTGTCATAACAAAGCCGCCGCGCTGCGGCTGTCGTGCGAGTGTGTGTGTGTGTGTGTGTGCGTGTGTGTGACTTGGCGCGGTAGAATCTGTTCGGGTAGGCGAAATGCAGCGAATAACTGTCTTTCTCGCTGTTCCGCCCCCCATCCCTCTCCCCTCCTACTCTGCACGCTCCCATCCCCAGTGACGACCAGCCCTGTTATTGCTGTCATCTTTCCCAAATTCTCCCGCCGCCGCCGGTCTTTTCGATCGGCATTCAGGCCGATATCATTATTGATTGATCTCTCTATAATCCCAATAACTTCCAGACGCATTTCTTGGCGGAATCCCGCTCCGCGGTGACCCAGAAACGAGAAATAATCCCTCCCGAAAGCGTTGACTGACAGGGCTGCCGCCCCGCCACCACTGTGAAAAACATTCGTGGGTTTCACTTGAAAATTCCCCTTTCATAATGTCAAAGTTAATTTCAATTGTAAAAGTACGAGACTGTTTTGAAAACTTTTATTTTTTTGCAAGCTGTCGGAAAATCTACGACAGCCTTCGTTAATTTTCAAAATGTATGGTTTCAAATCACAAATTAACGAATCGTTGAGTCGTTGAGACAATGTATAAAATTACTAAGATTGCTTTATTTTTATTTTTTACAGTGGGCCCTACCGCAGCATCAACAGCTCGGGGCCGAGCCAGCCGCGGGCGAAACGCCGGGGTCCGCACTTGTCGCGCATCGGCACGACGGGGAATGCCTCGCCGCGCCCCCCTCGCACGGCTGACGGGGCAGGCGGAGCGCCCGGCGCGAACTCCATCGGCCGCTCTCTGCAACGGATCCGCGCGTCGTGAGTGAGTGACATAATATCACGTGACAGGCCGGGCCGGGGGGACCTGGGGGAGGGGAGGTGTGAGCAGGTTCGCGAAGATCAGACGGTATGGAAATTAAACCAAGAGCCCCTCGCCCGCCTCCCTGCCGGCGCCGCCGCCGGCTCGGCTGCTCTAGGTCTAGGCAAGCGCGGCCGCCGCCACCGGCCTGGCGCCACTGTACTTCCCTGTTGAGCAAGTCGGCGAGGGGGAACAGAATTCCTCGCTTGGGTGGGTTTCAATCATTTTGTTCCCCGGTTAAAAGGCATTTCCAAATTATGTACGAGGATTGGACTTGTTGGTTATTAAATATCTGACAATTTATGACAAGCGCGCTGCGTTGAAATCTCCACCAGGAGGGCTGGAGGGTGGAGGTCGGCATCTGGTGGCGGGAGACGCGACTCGAGTCAACCCTGCGGCACGTGAGAGGGAGGGGGGGGGGAGGTTGTGCTGCTGGTCGGCTCGACTGTCACTGTCACTACCCGACTGTCGACGGCCACCTCCATTTGGCTGTCGCGGGACGAAAAATCCGATACACGTTAGACGAGCCAGTTTTGGCGGCATGCGCTGCACGGCGCTGCACTGTTGCTGTCGAGGACGCTGCGGCTGTGTGGCGCGGCTGGTACAGGCTACAGGCGCCGCCCCACCACGCCCGGCGCCGGCCGCCGTGCGCTCCCGTCAGGTGGCTACGCGACACTCACTTGTACAATATCCTCCAGAAGCAGCCGAAGCTGCTCCCGTTGGCGACGAGCTTGGAGTAGGTGACGGTCATCTTGAGCCCTGTCCTGGGTACGTCCCGGTCCCGGCTGTCCTGCTATCAACAGTCGCCGCGGGGCATCCAGCAGCGCCTGCAGAGAGGTGTCGGCGCCGCCGGGAGCGCGACGGGGCCGGGGACGCACATGTCACACAGCACACTACACTCGCGACACTGCGGTTCACCAGCCACTATGTACCACGGCGACGCTGCTCCGCTCGACGCACACCGCTCGTTCCGTTCGCTTCGCTCTGCTCAGGTGAGCGGCCAGAGTCGGACTGACGTGCCTGCTGCGGCCTGCGGCGGCCTGCCCGCCCCGCCGAGCCGACCAAAGCGCGGGGCGTGGCGGGGCGTGGCGGCGGGCCGGGCTACGGCTCAGCAGAGCTCAGCAGCGCTCAGCACCGCCACTCCAGTCGAGCCTGCAGGCGCTACACTCCACAAGACAGAGAGAGAAAGGGAGAGACTGACGCCGACGCGCGACGGGCTCTGTGCCTGCCGCCGCAGAGCCGAACCGAACCGCGCTCAACAGGGCGGCGGCAGCGCTCAGCACTGCTCAGCAGAGTGGCGTGGCAGTAGCTCGGCACAGCACCGCGCAGCCACGGCCTCGCAAACGAGAAAAACGAACGAAAGTCGCAATGGCACGGGCAATCCCCGGCGGCTGGCGGCTGAGCAGCGGGCGGCTGGAGGAGGCTGAGTAGGGCACATGGAGCACGCTGAGCTGTCGGCGGGCGGCTGGCTGAGTATGGAGCGTTGTCACAGAAAGGCCCGGACCACGGCGGTGAACATCACAGCCCTCTTCATCCCCATGCGCTGCCGGCCGAGCTGCCAGCGCTCCCGGGGCCCGGCGCACACTCCTGCCATCCTGTTCAGTGACGGCGACCGCTGCAACGCGCTCGTCCCGACTTGAGCGTTACGTCGCGGAGACGGCCGGTCCAGGCGCCGCTGGGGCGCCGCTGGGGCGCCGCGCGGCCACACGCTCCACCCGCTCACCACCCCTCCCCCTCCCCTCTCTGCATTTTACGGGTTTACTAGATGACGCGATGAGAAAGAGGCGTCTGAAAAGCTTCCGGAGGGGGAAAAGCGCGGAAAGGGCGTGACCTCCTGTCACCTTTGAACTGTAGCAACCCGCCGGGTGGATAGGCAATCAGAGCTAAAGTCCGCCTGAAAGTAGGCAAGATGCCAAACAGCTCAGCGGGCTTCCCTCCCTCTTCTTTTCTTTTCAGCCCCTGTGCCTTTATCGCATGTCAGTAGACAGCCAGCCGCGCACCTGCAGCCGTCCGCCGCCGCTCTGTCAGTGTTGGTGTGTCTCCTCTGCCCCTCTCGCGCTCCGCACAGCGCAGGACAGCGCTCTGCTCCGCCGGCCGAGCGCGGCGCGACCGGTCGTTGGCCCAATAGTGGCGGTATCGAGGGACGCGCCGACGCGCAGCCGCGCCACAGTCCAACTAACTACTGTTGGTTGGACTGCCAAGGTCGGCGATGGAAGCGAAACGCGCCGAGTCCTTTCCCAGGCCAACTATCCGCACAACAGACACACCGCCCGCCCCGGCTGTGTCGTGTACGCGGCGATTATTTGCACGCACGTCCTCAAGACCGCTGCAGTGCAAATAAGCAATGTGACCGCGGCAAAGAAGGCGCGTGTGCCGGTGCGTGTGTGTGTGTGTGTGTGTGTGTGTGTGTGTGTGTGTGTGTGTGTGTGTGTGTGTGTGATAGTGTGTGGTGGACAAACGTCTGGGGTGAGGCAGCTGGCTGGCGCTGAGGGGTGTGAGTTACTCGGTGGTGGTGGTGGGGTCTCCTTTTCCTTGTAGAGGTGGCGATTTACTCACACATATCAACTCGGTCGACGAGTCTGATATTATTTTGTGTCACCCCAGCTGCACTTCAACAATTTTCCTTTCCAGTACACACCAAGTCTGAACTACATAGGATCTGCTGTGCCCCGCCCGGAGCAAATGAGTAACCTAGCCCGAATGCAGGCGCGTGTACGGGTTGCCAGTTCTCACGGGGCCATATAGGCGCCATGGCTAGAGACTAAAGGCGAACCCTTTCGCAGCGGGCTGGTAAGCATTTACTCCGACGGGGCATAGACAGCAGCCACCCTTGTAGAAAAAAAAACTAATGCCAATGTGTCATCAAGCGTACTCAGGCAGCGACGGGCGAGAGGGAGAGCAGAGAGTATAGTGCAGGCTCAGAAGTTCAAACAATGGCCTCAAGAAATACGCAAGAGTGGTCGCTTGTGAACAAGATTCAATAGTGCTAACCTCCTTTCAGAACTGCTCGAACTGCTGAGAGCCGTGCATTTCAAACGCGGGCTGGAGCATGCAACGATAAACTTTGCTTCTATAGTCCGTATGAGATGAGGAAATACTGTCGATAGTCGCATTACTTACACATGGAAAATAAGGAATTCCAAAACACGAAATTCACCGAAAATGTATTAATGATGATTTCAACAAGTTAGCTCCAGGCTCAAATTTGTTTCATCTCCTTTCATAATTCATTCTTGGATGGATTTGTTGTTAACCATTGGCTAATGTCTCCACGAGATGACTGCCACGCACAAGCCGCTCAACCGAGCGCCTCGACGGGCCCATATGATGATGCCGTCTCTATACGCTCTGCGAGGACGATCACTTCGCTGTGCGAAAGAGACCCTCTCCATATTCCGACACACACGCGGGGCTTCGCGGAGCTTCGAGTGCCCAAATTACACTCTCGCCCGCACAGCCGCGCAACAACAATTTTCGCGGCCGGCTTTGGCGTTGGCGCCATGCGGCCCCGGGAGAGGAAGGGGGAGCATGCTCTGCAGACCTCAGGCTCCGGGTCCGCAGACCGATAGCATCAGCGAAACTACATTGCAATCGCGTTAAAGTAGTGGACTGCGGTGCACTCAATGGGTTCCCCTGCTCGGTTAACTTTTTTGAAAACATAACCAGGCCAGGTCGGTCGACATGGTTTCAACACACACTTTTATGTGGACATGTAATAATAATAGTACCCAACCCATCTCGGTCACTAAACCTACTGTACTACAGTGTATGATGTGTACAGATACCAACCAGGCTGGGAAGGACGCTACACTTGGCAGCACATGAACTGATACTCACTCAGTAAATAGTTTACTGCACACGTACGGGCTTCCCCGGGCTTCCCTCAATCGCCAAACTAAGAAAAGTGTCAAAACCAAGTGGTCATAACTTGTTTTTAGCAAATTTATATTCTTTCTAGATCTGGACGCCTTCGTTGCGTAAACCTCGTGTGGGGAAGATGGCGTTCACTAGCAGTAACCCCCCCCCCCCTCTCCCCCGGGCCCGGAGATCCTGACCGCGCGACCAGAACCAACTGCCCGGGCCCGCGGGCAGGCGGGGCAGGCGCTTTCGTTCCGACGGGGATATAAATAAATTCCGGATCATCGTAGTTGTTCGGCGAAACGAGGCATGTCCCGCGAGGCACAGACAGTCTGCGGTCAGACTTTACAACCGGATGGGAGCGGAGACCACCGGCCCGCCCGCACCCGGCCTGCTCCCCCCCCCCCTCTCACCTGTAGGATTTCTGGGGATTGAGGACGTCGTCGATGTGTTTGAATTTTAAGAGCGCTCCCTCCGCGTTCTTGCGACACATTGCTGAGTAAAACGTGTGAACCGCGCCCTGTGCGAGATGCATCCTGACACTGCCCAGAAAGTATGTCCGTTTTCCTCCGACTCATTCGGGCTCGAAACGGGAGCTTGGCGCCTGCAAGACCCCGGATAGGCCTCCCCGCAGTACGCGCATGCATAGCAGGCAAGATGTTGCCTACCCATCGGGCGCTAATGGGGTTGCGCAGGCTGAGCTGGGCAGTTTCGTGACGCGAATAACGGACAAACTTGCGGGATGATTAATTACGTCAACTCCCAATTACTGGACAGGACCTTACAGAGGCCGCAAGTGGGGGGGGGCATGCGCCGCACTGGAGTTGAGCTGAAGTGCACCACTATGGGCGCGTCCGCACATTCGGGTCGCGAGAAGGGGGGGGGGAGGGGCTGGACATTTGCCCGCGGGCGCGGCCCCTCGGGCCCCTCCCTCCGCCGCGCCAGGAGGGGATAGATAGGATAGCGCAGGGAACCTTGACATTTAAGGCTCCATTCAGTTGTCGATAGACCGGGGCGCGAGCAAAGTGAATGCAAGTCGAGCGGCCCCCGTGCGATGCGCGCGGTGGGGCCGGCGCCGGCAGGAGGCACAGAAGCGGCCGCCATTGTCTGCCCAGCCGCCGCTGAGCTGCGCACCTGTTCTGCGAAGCACACGACCGTCGTCGTGCCGTCGGTCGCGGGCGGCCACGGCGGCGGCGCACGACCAAGAGATAGCGTGCGAGGCTCGCGCGTCAGGCACAGAGACGACCCACCGTGTTGACGGACCCGTGTCCCGTGTTATTCATATTTATTTTGACGCCCGCTCCGCTCGACGGGCCCTCGCGGAATGCCCCGCGTTGGCAAAGTGCAAACGCCAGCAAGGAAGGCGAGGGGGCAGGTCTCAGAGCGACGGCGCATTGTCTGCAGGATTGAACCGTCAGCGCAGCGTTCTGCACAGGAGTGGCGGCGGGGGGCGGGGGTATACACATGGAACACAGCGCTACTATCCGGTGTTCGCTTTTGTTGGCTTTTGTGGGACCTGGCCTGCCGTGCTCGCAATGCACGGAGGGCATCGCGGAAACTCACTGACCACTGATGAGCCACTGCTCCTTCTGCTGCTTCTGCTGCTGCTTCTGCTGCTGCTGCTCCTTTGCCCCTTCTGCTACTTCTCCGTCTTTACATAATGTCTTCACACACACACACGCGCACGCGTTAAGTGCGCCATGACTTTATCTTCTGGTCACGCCCCTCCCGGACTATCACATCATGGAGCTTAAGAGGGGGAATAAAACACTGCCGCGCTTGGCGTGGCCTGCAGAAGCACGGCAGAAGCGCCCCAAACCGGCCGAAGGGAAGCGCCATAACGACCGGCACAGCGGCAGGGCCGCTCGGAGTGTTTGCACAACTGTCTGGGTGAAGCGGCTCGCTGGTGCTGCAGCCGAGTGAAAATGAAAAGAATAAAAAGGGAAACGGTTATTGATTGGAGCCATTGAGGTATGCGGCGCGACCAGACGGCGTGGCGTGGCGCGGCGCGGAGGTAATACGACTCCAAGGCCTACCGCCGCCGGCCTGCGCTGATTGACCAGGAGCCGCCCGAGCTGCAGCACGGCGGCAGCGCGGGCGGCAGGAAGAAGCCCCGGGTCGGCTCGCCCCGCCCGCCCGCCTCACCGCGGAGCGCGATGGGTGGCCGACCTCGCGGGCGCTCCCAGGCCCCAAGCCCAGGCAGGGCCCCGGGCACGGCAGACTTGTTTACTTCCACCGCCTCGAGGAGGCATCGCCCGCACGAGACTTCCGGGCAGACGGACGAGAATAAGAGCACAACAACTACAACGACTTTACTGAAAACCGCGAAACTGTATTTCTGGAAACTACGCGCGCGAGTTACATTCACAATCATTATCACAGAAGATATGCAGTCGAAACTTTAAAGTCGGCACAATAATATTTATACACGCCGGTGGCCTCCTCCCACCATTCAGTCCGAGCGGGGCGCTCACACCCAGCTCTTGCTGTACAGCACGGAGAAGGGCGCGTCGTCGGTGGGCTGCAGCCAGTTGTCCTCCGCGTAGCTGCCCCGGACCAGGTCCACGACGTGGAAGGTGTAGGCGTGCCTGGACTTGTCGGACTTGTTCCTGTCGCTCTGGTGCACCACCAGCCCGTGGATCAGAACGAGGGAGCCTGTCGGCAGAACAGATAGGGGTGAGGGGACGGCCCCGCGCAGCGGAGGCACAAACACAGAGGCGTCGGCGAGACTCACCCTTGGGCACGGGGACGGGGACGAAGTTGTTTCTCTGATAGGTGGGCTGCGGCCTGTCGTAGATGAGCAGGTCCTTGGAGTCCTCGTTCGGGTTGCGGATGAAGCGCGTGTGCACGCCGCCCTTGTGTGACCCGGGAATGAACCAGAGGCAGCCGTTCTCCAGGGTCGCGTCGTCGAGCGGGATCCAGAGGCCCAGCAGCGCGTCCGGGGGGTCCATGTACAGGTAGCTGGCGTCCTGGTGAGGCGTCACTGTGGGCAACCAGCACGACGACGGTCACGACCACGGCGGGCGGGACGCGGCCTTGTGTCGCCGACCCGCCGCCGTCCCTTACTCACCCTCCCCGCCGACACCGGGGTTCTTGTAGATGTACATGCTCTGCGCCACGGCGGGGGTGTCCAGCCCCAAGGCCCGGCAGACATCCTTGACGCGCTCGCTGTTGGTCACGTCCCGGAAGGGCTCCACCTTCTCGTGCAGGGCGTGGCCGACCTTGTTGAGGGCCAGGTGCGGCTCGACGAGCAGCGTGCCGTCCTCGGCCAGCGCACCCTTCTCGTAGAAGTAGGCCACTTTGTCGCCAGAGTTGAGGAAGTACTCATCGCGACCCTGTGCACAATCAAATCAATCAAATCAGCCACCAACCACCAAGGTCTCGTTTTTATTGCTTGTCTGCATTCCCTGCGGGGCATACCTACCTGGTCCGCGAACACAGATCTCCTCTCTTCCTGCGGCACGTTCCTGGCGAGGCTGTCTCCCGCGGCGCGCAGGGCCTCCGTCTCGGCGGGGGTGAGGAAGTCGTCCAGGACCACGTAGCCGTCGCGGTCAAACTGTGGGGGGGGGGGGGAGAAGAGAACGAACGCACATCAGCACAGCAGGCTGCGAGTTGAGGATGCGCCAGCGTGCAGCAGGGCGGCCGGGTAATGTACGGCTACTGCACTCTATTTTTATATTCCCGCCGCTAAGTGTTGGCCAGACCGCACCGTGTATAATCGACGCGAGATAGGCGTCAAACTTCTACGGGGGTTCCTGCGGGGTCCCTCCGCCTCACCCCCACCCCCACCCCCCCTCTCTCTACCCTTTCCTACATCCTCTCACCAAGCTAGAGCGCGATGCGATGAGCCGACGAACCGAAATACTTGGCCACTCGCTCACCCCGCGCTGCGGCCCGCTGGCCCGCTGGCGTGACGCCTGGCTGCGGCGGTGGTGTGGTGTGGCGGCGCAGCAGCTCTGGCTCGCGCGGGACTCGCGCTGCGTACGACTCGCAGCGCCCCGCGGACCGCTGTCGTCACGGTATGAGAAATATGCTCCCTTGCTCATGCACAGTCTGTCCGTCTATCCGTGTGCGTCTGTTCTGTGCCCGAAACCATGCATCCTTCTTGGTACTGAAACTTCATTATTGAATCGAATGCACGATATGGTGCTTCAGTTCCACTCTGGAGTGGTGTATCGACTTTGATGACAGAGAAGCCAAACACGCCTTCTTTAACGAATTTCTGCGGCGTGAGTCACTCTCTGGCCCCTTACCCGCACGCCCCTCGCCCCGCGCTTAAGAAGAGCGTTTACATCTCGACTTGCGCCAAATAAGCTCGGGTCACGCGTCGCGGAACTGGGCACCGCTCGCACTGCTGCAGCTCGCCCGACTGCGGCTGCGGCTGGCGACTGTCCAGCGACAGGTGACACGACACATTCTGCCCACCTTGACCGTGGCGGAGCCTGGCCTGGGACTCGGCCCGCGGCCGCCCCGCGGCCGTGCGACCGCGCCGGTGACGCCTCCGCCCGCGGTAGCCCGCGCCGCCCCGCCGCGGCCCGCCCCGTTAGCACTGGCACTGTCGCGGCGATCTTTTTATACCCCAAAGCTCATCATAGCGATGAGCCACCGTCCAGCGCACCCGCGGCACGCCGCTCGGAGGGCGCACGGGCGGCGTGCCGCGGGGGAGGGGAGGGTCCAGCAGACAGAGAGAGAGATAAGGGGGGGGGGGCGTCCACCGAGCTATCTCCCTTTATCGCGCTCTGTTGACAGGGGCCACACACATCGTGTGAGAGGAGCAGGTCGGTCGCCCCAGCCGCGTAAAAGCCGTGATGAAAAGACAACAGCATGAGGACGAGACGAGATCCGTTCCCTGAACCCGAGCCGAGGAGGCGTCGTGTTGGTGCGCAGAGCGGGGTCGCCGTCGGCGCGAACCGAAAAACAGACGCATATGACGTTTTGGCGACCTCTCTGTGTTTTACTTGGGACCGAGTCGGCGACAGCGCTGAAGCTGCGCCCTTGGGAGCCTGGCCGGCTTTGGCCCAGTCAGCGTCGGCCCCGCGAGTCCAGACTCTGGTCCAGACCATACACGGGCACGGCGCACGGCGGCGTCTGGCGCGGCGCAGCGAAGCGCGGCGGGGCAGAAATTATCGCGCATATGCCCCCCGTTCCTACCCACTTTACTTCCTATTCCATGCCTGACATGTGGGGAATTGCGTATCACCCCCCACCCCACCCCCACCTCTCCACACACACACACACACACACACGCGCGCGCGCGCTACGCGCCACCGAACCCTTTCAGCAAAATCAACAGAATGACGACTTTATCATGTTATGGCTTCAACCTTTCCGGAAGATGCAGCATGAGCGTCCGAAACTCACTGAGGGTACTTCACCTGTTCCTTGATTCCGCCGCGCATGGTGGGCCGGGTCTTGTCACACGCACACTAAGTTCCGCCGCTCTGTGCGCCTTCCTTTCGCGTGCGCTCTGGGCGTCGACCAAGTGTTTTCCCTCGCTGGCCCGATGCGATGCTGCCGACCCGACGGCCGGTTGGGATTGGACTGACGTGGACGTGCTAGACCCGAGCCGAGCCGCGCGACCCAAGCCGAGCGGGCCGCATGGGCTGGGCGGGGGCCGCTCGCCCGCCACCGAAAGAAGGACCGAAGAGAGATGCGCCTTCCCCGCCAGCTGCCGCCAGCAGCAACACACTTGACGCGCTGCTGCTCCGCATCCGCATTCGACACGGAATCGGGATCAGCATCTAACATTTGTACGGCGTAGGGATGGTCTGTGCTACTAGCTGCATTTACAAAACAACTTATTATCCAAAGTCCATGTGCAGAACTGTAGTAGGCGTTGTGCGCCAGAAGTCCCTTCCGTCCACCTAGTCGTCTACATACTAGTCCAGGAAAGATAGGTAAAAAACCGCCCAAACCCCAAACAAAATCGCTCACGCATTCTGAAAACGGTTTTCGACTCATTGGACCTTCCCTAACAACATATCAAAAATCCCCAAGAATCCCCGCATTGGCATTTTTGCGGGACACTGTAAAACATTTCGCTAATTTTAGGTAATTTAGTGAAAATTGAAATTACGTTAGAAATCGTTTGAAGACATTTTAAATGGCAGGTAATGCTTTCTTATACCACTGGTAGGTCAAAAAATAAGTATATTGGAATTCATCATGCAATAGGACCTATATTTTCGAAAAAAATCGGAAAATTTCGTCAAATTTTCACCAAAAGCAGCAAAAGAGAGGAATTTTTGTGAAAGTCTCGAGAAGATGTCTAATGGTGAGAGGTGGTGAGTGGTAGGGGTGGTGTGTGTGTGTGTGTGAGTGTGAGTGAGTGTGTGCTCCGCTAGGGGGGCGAGTGGGCCGCCGACTCCACACGGCTGCTTGGCGGGTTAGCCTACCCAGTGCACTGCAGGCGCCATGGAAAGCGCTGCGAAAACCGCCGCGAGTGTAGAGCCTCCTCCGAGGGCGTTTTGGCGGTTTCCAAGAGAGGTGCTCATTAAGTCGTTCGGTTCTCTCTCTCTCAAACTTGAAGAAGTCGAGTCGAGTCGGCGGATCGGTGCACCGTGCGGCAGTTTAACCGCGGGTGGCGCCGCGGGTTTTAACTCATTTGACGTTGCCGAAACTGCCACAAAACACAAACAAAATAAATATCCTAAAATTGCCTTCTTCTGATTTGGAGCAAGATTTAAGAAAAGAAATTACGTCCTTCAAATTTAAATCTGTATTTTGAATAGCTCAATTAAACATTTTAAATCCTTTTCATTTTCTTTTTTTAGGTAATGCTTTTCTTGCTGAGTGTTGCTTAACCTGCGTATTGAACTGACCACAACAAAACAGATGCCGGACCCTGTCGAGTCGGCTCGGCTCGGCTCTCGGCTCGGACGTCCGATGTTCTCTGCTGACTTGTCCGATGTTTAGTTTCGTTGTTGGTTGTGACGTGTAGAGGCCGGAAGGTCTGGAGATTTGAAGGTCCATCCCATCAAGTGGAGGCTTAACTACCAACAGTGTGCCTGGAGTCCAGCATTCGTCTGGGTTGGACAATGTCAAAGCTCTCTTGCTTCTGTTAATTTGGTGCATGTAAAGGCTGATTTCAAGATGAGGTTACCTCCTTGTCTCTCTTGGTGCTTTGCTTTGACACTCAGCTGCTTGCTCAGCTGTCATGTCAGTTCTGGGGCCAATGTGGACAGAGCCAAATCCATGTCTGATGTCATTGCAAGTGACGGGCTATACAGCCGCTCCGACAAGGTTGCTATATTAAATGTGACAACCTTTGAGAGCACAGTTCTGAATTCAGATGTGGCTTGGCTTGTGGAATTTTATAACACCTGGTGTGGTCATTGTCAACGATATGCGCCAATATGGAAGGAATTTGCTGCCTTGGTAGCAGGTAAGACGAGTTACTCTCATATCTAGTAGCTATACTAAGGAAGTACATGTCTGCATAGATAATTTGTTTTCACTTGTCTTAAAGCTTTCATTAGTTCTGATAAAGTTACGTTTTTTAAGACCACAACTATGTTGAATTATTAATTAAATAAGTCATCCAATGGGAATGCTGGCATTCATTCAGTACAAATTATGAATGTTAGCATCAATTGCCACTCTGTTTTCAAAATATGCCTGAATATTTTGAGACAAGCAAAATACCTGCCATAGTGTTTAGAATAGACGTTTTATCCAAAGCGGTTATTCGTACAGTCGCCCAAATACCGCTATTTTTGTCCGGCGACAACCTCTTCACTGTGATCAAAATTCAAAATTCTGGCCACGGTGTTTGACGCGGAGTAGTCACAAAAACCAAACACCGTGGCCAGACTTTTGAATTTTGATCACAATTAAGAGTTTGTCGCTGGAAACTATCAGCGTGCGGCGTTGCCACATCGTTTGGATAAAAGGTCTATTAAATCCCTATAACTTGAGGTAATAAAGACTCACACCATTTGGATGAAGTCTGAGGGCTGGTTATATTTGCGATCAGAGTACTAGGCAGCGATTTAGCCTTTGTGATTAAACTTTAAAAAGTGTTTCATGATTGCTTGTACATAGTGTAACAGTGGTTCATATCATAAAAATTGGCAACTTTCCTCGTACCAATTTTATCATTATCAATAAATCACATAGACTTGACTATTTGTTTCCTTGCTAACATTTTTCTATCCTTGTTACAGGCTGGAAGTCAGCAGTGCGCATAGGAGTTGTAGATTGTGTTGTTGAGGCCAACACCCCACTGTGCAGAGATTATGAAATAATGCATTACCCATTTGTTAAATTTTTCACTGCTCATCATCAGAAAGGTGATATTGGAAAAGAAATTGAAAAGGGCAGAGATGCACCTGAAATGCGTCGCACATTGGCAGAAATACTTGAGAAAGAACAGCTGGAAGGAAGGGGCAGTTCATGGCCCAACATCACGCCTTATCGTAGCTCAGATTTACACAACTTGTGGAAGGATGTCCCAAGTTCTGTATTGTACTCAATATTGATATTTAAGGATAAGAAAAATGAAGTGGGAGCTGACTTGGTTTTGGACTTCAGTCAGATACCAAGCATTCAAACACGAACAGTCTCAGCTGAGAATGAGGTTCTTTCCAAACTGCTGCAGGTATCTACTCAGCCATCCATCGTTGTTATTGAACGAGGAAAAGATACCGGAGAACTGCTGTACACACAAGATACCTCTCATAATGGTCTTAGCATAGCCTTGCAAGCGTTCTTAAAAACGAAGCATATTGAAATGCCTGAAATAGAAGATACTGAAGAAGAATTGGTTAAAATGCCTGCTACTGCATATGATGACAATGAACTACAAAAGCAGGTTAAACAGCTCATGTCTCATAAAGGCGATATTGCCTTCCTAGCTGACCTCGAACATGCCTTGCGCTTTTCTCTACGGCATGAAGTAGGCTCAAGAAAGCAAATGACTGGTCCAGTGTTGAATGCCCTTCGCAACTTTCTTGTCATTATTCGGCGCCATTTCCCCTTATCAACATCTGGGCTATCCTTATTGAATGCGCTTTGTAGCAAAGTGGAAACTTCTAAGGACATCTCAGGAGAGGAATGGAAAAAATTCCTTCTTGAAGAAGAGGCCAAGCTGGCGGCGCCAGTGTGGACAGAACGTAAAGATTTTTTGGGGTGCCATGGAAGTCAACCCAATTTCCGTGGATATCCTTGTAGTCTTTGGACTACATTTCATGTGTTAACTGTTGATGCTCTGAATTCGGCTAGTAGTGGACAACCAAGAGAGGTGCTTGAGGCCATTTTGGGGTATGTTACCCATTTCTTTGGTTGTTCAGAATGCTCCAAACATTTCCAGGAAATGGCCTCTGAGACAATGTTTTCAGATGTGACATCCCACAAGGACAGTGTCTTATGGCTTTGGGAGGCTCACAATACAGTAAATAAAAGACTTGCTGGTGATGCAACTGAAGATCCAGCTTTCCCCAAGATTCAGTTTCCCTCTGTGGATCGTTGCTCTGGATGTCGTGATAATGGAGCATGGGTCAAGCATCAGGTCCTTCAATACTTGGAATCTATATACAGCCATGAATCTCTCAGCGTCATAGGAGCTGCCGGATCAAACTCCATGTACAGGCCTAACAAACAAGCACTTTCGGCTGGTTCGGAAATGAGTGCACTCGACATGAGTCTGTACGTATTATTGTGTGCAGCATCCATTGCTATAATTGCTCTTGTGTGTCTAAAATTTTTGTTGCCTCGTACTTACCATAAAAAAATTTATGTTCATGATATGTTTGGTAAGGTATAGGTTTAATTTAAATTCCAGCAAAGGTAAGAGAACTTAAGGGGAATGAAATGTAGGAAACAAATTAATGGGATTTTGAAAAATCTACCGATGAATACTTTTCAACTCCTCTAGATATTGTATGCCCATATACTCAAACAACAATAGATCATTATTTTTTTCCAAACTACGTAGAAGCTTTGATTTGAGATTGCTTGGATTGCAGATATTTTAAGGTCATATGTGGTCACTAATGCTTATAAAAATACAATTCAAGGATAAGAAAATAATTTTTTACCAGGCTTATTATAGATATCAAGAGCTCATGAGTTACTTACTAAGATTCGCTTAGTAAGTTTCTTAATTTACAAGTACCACTACTAGATTTGTGTCATTACTTCAAAGGGATGTTTTATTTTTATTCATGAAGTTTGATGGACTTTAATCTTAGTGTACAAGAGTTTAGTATTGTATTTTATGTTCAGTGATTTTGATGCATTTGTTTTCATTTGACCACTCATTCCAGTGATTCTCTTAAGACTTAAATATGTTTAAGCCCGTTTCATTGTTCCCACTTGTAGTTTTAAACATGTTGGTGTGTCAGTGTTCAGTTCTTATCAGTAGCATATTTTCCCAATACTCCTTTATTTTTACCAATCAAATTTCTCTACAAAGCAAATACGTTTGTGTTAAGTAATTGCTCTACTTTTACTCTTACATTACGTTTACCCTTATCGTGTACTTAATTCAGTGAACTCTGCCATTATACACTCATAGATAAGTTTGTTAGTGAAGTAATTGGCTAGTCACATTGTTTTGTGAGAGCAAAATGGCAATACAGAAGTGAGGGGGTTACTATGATGTCAACAGTGATTAATATTAATTGTTGGTTTTCTGATTTCCAGATTGTGATTTCTAATGACTGGTTTTATTTTGTACAGACTAGTGCCGTGGGTATCTCTCATTCTTGGCCAATATTGGCTTTGAGTCAAGTGAAGTGTCTTCATCAGGAACTATTACCAGTGGCATCTTCTTCATCTACTATGCCTGTCGTAAAATACACCGAATTAGCATGTGTTTATGCCTTCTGCTTCACCCATCTTTGTATGTCTACATAATGTCCAAAACATTTTGAGAATTTTTAATTTTACTACTATTTTTACAATGTTTTATGTTAGTAAGCGGTAATATTGTCCATCAAATATTGCACAGTGCTGTTATGGCAACTTAACTTTATTCCTCTGTCCATTATTATGGAACCATTTCTTCTCTTTGGTTGAGACATATCATATCCTACATACAGTACCTCAGGGATGAATGGATAAAATAAGTCTCTTGGGGTTATTCTCTGAAGTCTTTGTATCTTGGTTCAGTTGTCAGATTTGTATATTTTGTTTTTGCCCTTCATTGACAACTATGTATTGTTAAGAGGCCAAAGAAGCTTTTTTTCTCCCTTCCACGTGCTGTGAGTTATAAACATTTCTGTGATACAACTAAGTGTTGTGAATGTGCTATTGCTAGGTAGAAGTTTATCACAAATTCAGCATTATTAGTAATTTGAAAGTCTTCTCTCATTTTTGACTTGATTTATAGTCAATTTGCGTGTCTCTGTGTTTTAAGAATTTTAATTCATGGATTTTTGTGTTAAATGATATCCTAATTTTAATTTTTCTGTGTATATCTTTCTCATGCACTATGATGTGTTTTTATGTTTTATACATGTAAATTGAAAATTGATGTCTAGCTTTAGCCCAATATGTATTGTAAAGATTTTTCTCACAAATTGTGATTTATGTAGTCATGTGCTGACTCTTGCATTTATACAGTGTAAATACTATATTGTTTTTATCTTTGTTACAAATTAGAAAGAGAATTTGTGTTTGTCAAACAAATATTTTTCTTAGAAATGTTACATCACGTCTATCCCCTTTGGGTGGAATCATCACAATTGATACCTTTGATCATAGCAAAATAGTATTAAAATATTCATGGATCTAAGTTGTTAAATGCATTTTTTCCCCTTAACTTTCTTCTTCCCTCAATCTCTGTTTTCAACACACAGTATCAGTTCAGTTGTTCTCATTTGACGCTCTCTTTGACATATTCACAGGATTAAAAACTCTTTAGCCCCATCTTCGTGTACTTATAAAATTATTTAAATTATCACATCATACCCGAACTAATGATAAGACTATTTACATAATACTGAACTCTGTACTTGCACTTGAGTTCGTTTCGCCTGTTTCGCATTTCCCTCCCAATGCACTGCCTCCTAAATAACTCTCTCTCGTCCCTCTCTCTCTCACCACCACACCTCAAGTCAAAGTCAAGCAAGCCGTGAGTTGGGATGGGCGGCGTCAACGACAGACAACCTTATTTGTTATGAACGTGACAGCGTTCAGTTTTGAAAGGAAAAATGACTAAGTTAATACAATTGTTAGGTTTAATTTTTATCAACGGAATTTGCCTATGTTCTAGTTGTAAGTATTTGTCAATTGATTATGATAGATTTCGTATTAACTATCGCATTCCACGACGTGACGCTTTTGGGCTGAAAGGGCTTGGCCATGGTAACTTTTGAAACTTACATTCTCATTTTGTGACTTGTAACTCGCTGGATTTCAATTCTCACCTTCTCACAGCTCCAGTTTTCTTCCGTCTCTCTTAAATTCTGGTTTTATTTCACACTTTTAATTCAGTCACTGTCACCTGTTGACTTCACCTTGGTTATGTAGTTATTTCTGTTTACCACAGCTTAATAATCATTTTAGTCAATTGTATAATCTCTATTTTGTAGAATAAGCCCATTACCCTTTCAGTCTTTACTCTCGCTATTTTTTTATAAATTTCAACAAAATGCTGCATTGTAAAAATTTAAAATCAACTTTCAGATTCCAATAGCATAGAACGTGAAAATGTTATGTCTTGGTGTACAACGAGTAAAGAAGAACAAAGAAAGTGTCAACACCTGGCCATGGTTGTAGAAAGAGACTATCATGATTTTAGGGATTATTTTATGCAAATACAGTGTAAACAGGTATGAGCTTCTTAATTTTTGTTTACTTGACATTTCATTTTTTTGAGGATTGGCATCACTATGCATTTAACTTAAACTACAACCATCAAATTTTTTTACAAACTCTGTCTTAATTGTTATTGTTTACCATTTGTTTACAGGCATTTAACATTGATGAATGTATGACAATGCTGGATGAAGAAAAGGCTTCTATTACTTTGGTTGATGCTGGTGAAGTTTTTGTTGGAGGGCGTTATCACAGTTTGGTGCCTATCATGCAAGAACGCCTCACAGGTCTGCAATATTAAATCAAATTTGATGTATTTTTTAAATGAGCCATAAAATTTATTTCTAAGCATCTGTTTTACAGGTGGTCAAAAGTTCTACTATGCAGTTGCTGTGGTGAAACGTGGGTCACTTTTGGATGTGGGCCATCTATCACATTTAAGGGGGAAGCGGGCATGCTTTGGTGGTGTAGGCACTCAAGCAGGGTGGGTGTTGCCCGTGTACACTGTAAGTATATCCCTTAGTAGTTTTTTCTTGGGCTAATGAACTAAATTTACTCGTCAGTTCTGTTGAGAACATTATATTTTATATCAATGCTATGTGTTGTTTCCAGATGATGCAGTATGGTGGCATGCAAGTTATAGACTGTAACAATCATGTCAAATCAACTATCAACTTTTTTGGCCCAAGCTGTGCTGTTAACTCTCTAATTGACAAGTACAATCCCATAGGTATGATTCCTGTGTTTGACATGCTAGAAAGTAATCTATTCACCTGATTGTAAGACCCGTTCCCCAAAACCCTCCCACATAGGAGAGGAATTTATAGGGGGGAAAAGGGGTTTTTATATTCAGGTGAGAATGGTATTACTTAACAATATTATGGAAGTTGCTGATTATGTTTTCCTTACTAGGTGATAACTCTGATCGTCTATGTGAACTGTGTACGGGCAAGGTGCCTGGTGGGAAATGCACAAGCCATGATCCCTACGCTGGCTTTGAAGGTGCATTTCGATGCCTTGTGGAAAAGGGTGATATTGCTTTCGTTAAGCATACTACAGTTGCTGAGATGACTACTTCAAATGTTGACTTTCGTAAGTCTTTTCTTTGTCAAATAGATTACTATCTGGTACTTGGGAGAAAAGTTGTCCAAGTTAAGAAACATTCAGTCTGATATTTATATTTTCCTCTTGATAAAATATAGCTGGAGTTAAAAAAGACAATTTTGAGTTGTTATGTGTTGATGGATCAAGAAGACCGATAGATGACTTCCGTTCTTGCAATTGGGGACCTGTTCAATCTCATGCTATTGTTACAACCAGTGCTAAATCACCAGATGTGAGAAGATTGTATCAAGACTTTTTACAGGTATTCTATTGTCACAACAGCTAATATTTTGTTTTCTTGTGACTTGTATTATTAATTGCTAGATGTAATTGTATTTTCTTTTGCAGAGGATTGTTCAGCTGTATGGAAGAAGAATTAATTCTACTATACCATTCAACCCACAAGATCCATTCAATAATCCTGCTAACCGTGACTTCAACAGTGATCCCTTCTATGCAAATCGATTTAACCAAACAGGGCCCCCATCATTACCACCCTCTCCAGGTTTTGCACCAGATCCATACCGTCCTTTCAATCCCAATGTTCCCCCACCTGGCAACTACGACCCTCGCCGCCCAATCAAACGAGATACGGACAAGCAACAAATGAAGAGGCAAGTTCCTGCATTCCCTCCTCGACAGACCAGCTATGACCCAAATGACCCCTTCTATAATGGACCTGCTGAAGAAGCATACCGTCCTCCTGCTCCTCATGAATCATTTGAATTATTTTCTTCTGCGCCTCGATATGGCATTCGCCACAACCTGCTCCTTAATGATAATGTTGAAGATCTTCTCCCCCTTGATGAATCCCATCAAAATTATGAAGTGTACCTTGGCCCTGCTTTAAAGCAAATATTGGGTGTCCGTCAGTGTCCTGTGAACCGAATGTCTTTGTGTGTTACTTCCAAGCCAGAAATGGACAAATGTATTAAAATGAGAACAGCTCTTAAAGCTCAGCTCCTGAAGCCTGAAATGGTTTGTGTCAAAGGTCACAGCCATATTCATTGTATGGAACAAATACGTTCTGGCACAGCAGATGTCACTGTTTTGGATGCAAGTGATGTTTATACTGGTGGTGTTAGGTTTGATCTAATTCCATTTATCGCCGAAGTTTATAATTTGGGACTACCAGATTATTATGTTGTTGCTGTTGCAAAGGAGCAAGATCCCACAACTGAGCTGACATTCCTGAAAGGTATTTGACTTCTTGTTCCATTAGTTCTTTGAAAGTTATATGAATACCATTATAATTAGAATATATATCCTGACTTTCCAGGAAAATACACCTGTCACACTGGAATGAATACTGCTGCAGGGTGGGTTGTTCCAATGGCTTATCTCATGTCCAATAGCTGGATTAGGAGCTATGGCTGTGACTCAGTGCGCACTGCAGCAGAGTACTTTGGAAAGAGTTGTATTCCAGGCGCACTATCCAATGAATACAACACAGGTGTGCCCTATGACAATATGTGTGACCTTTGCCATGGAACAAGTTCTAGTTACTGCAGGAGAGACGCATCTGAAGATTTCTATGGCTACACTGGTAAATTTGGTTTGGTCAACCATTGGTATGTCTCAACTTCCATCTGGATTTGCCTTTACCAGCTGATTTGGTCAATTTACAGGTGCTCTGAGATGTTTAGTGGAGGGTGGAGGTGATGTGGCGTTTGTCAAGCACACAACTGTGGCTGAAGTGAGTGATGGAAAGCGAGACGAATGGTGGGCACGTAATGCCCTGAGTGGAGATTTCGAACTTCTGTGCCCAGACGGTAAGACTACATGATTAAGTATGTTACGTATTAATTAATGGCAGTCCTTTTTGAACAGAGCAATTTTTCAGGTTTTATGAACTAGATACATGTTTTTTATATCTTCATATATTTATTTTTATCTCTTATTATGTCTCTTTATTATTTTCCCATCCTTCACTTCATGTTGTAGGTCGGCGCATGAATACTCAAGACTACAAAAAATGCAATTTAGGAAAGGCAAAGGCTAATGCTATTGTAACTCGAGGAGGAGAAGGTTACAATGAAACTGAAGTTAACGCTTTCATAAATCTTTTCGTTTATGCACAGCAATTTTACGGGCGAAGGGACACTGATGAATTCAGGTAAGACTTTATTTGCCAGTTGGCTAAGAAAGTATGATACTGAAATTTTGTGTTTAACTTGTTTTTAACTTTGTGTTTAACCTTTCTTTTAGCTTTAGCATGTTTTACTCTCAACCTCCCTACTCTGACCTCATCTTCCAAGATGCTACTCAGCAACTTCTTGTTTTAAATTACTCTCAACGCCATTATGCATCCTATGTGGGGAAAGACTTTTTAAGAGCACGAAGAATTGTTGACTGCCATGCTGGAGCAAAGAGCATCACATCCCATACGGTTTCTATTATTTTAAGTATGGCTTTAGCTTTGATTTTTAGTCACTCTTACTGAAGTGGGTTTATTACACTGTATGTGCAGTGGGAATCACATGTGTTTTGGTCCAATTTCAATTTGGTCAAATTTTCTATCTTTCTATTTTGTTTGTTTTAAATCTTGGATCTCATTTACTAGTGGAAATTACTCTTATTTCTATGAAACTAACTGACCATAGAGAGACTATTTTCTCCATACTTAATATGCTCTATTTATAAAAACAAAACCACTGTGCTTTGAGTTTTGCAGATGGTGGCAATATTTTTTATTGCTGCAATCAGAATTGAAAATAAGTGATGTGTGTGAACTTTTCGAGAATATTTTCTGCACATTTTAATGTAAATTTGCACAATACCTTTCTATTAACCCAACCCATATTGCCTTGTTCTACTGTTATAACGTTCCATGAAGGTTTAACGTTGTTTGTATGAACCCTGTAAAGTAATCCCGCTAAAGACACTTTAAGCGGGATTATGCACTAACTGAGCCCGTAGTACCGGCTGTCATTTGACGCAAATGACAACTCTTTAGGGCAAGAAAGACTTCCCTTCGGCCTATTGTCTTTGCAAAACCTGCTCACAATGTATTTTTTTCTACCCACTATGTCTTATAGGTGTGGTCAGCATATTGTGATCCCACTCAAAAGTAATATACGGACCGATTTGTGCTAACAAGGTTACATTTACCATGAGTGCCTTCTTGTAATTTCATGTCTGCTGTAAGACTGACAACTACCCAACTTGTTCAAGATCAAATCCATTACAAAGAGTATAATGTACTTTTATCTTAGTTATCGTTATTATGGCAAATAATAACATTTGGGCAAAGAAATTTTATTTACCATAGATCTAAAGATGTTAAGATCCTGATTGTAATTTGTTGTCCTTAAGATTACAACTATGAAAATACCAGTATAAAAATGTAATCTCAAATTGAATTGTGCATGCGTCTTGATGTATGTGCCGGTAGTTTCTATCAAATTTTTAATGAATTATTACATTGTGTATAGTATTCATATTAGATATAAGACCATACAGAGTAAGCTGTAGATATTTACTGTAAGTGTTTTTTTGTTCTTTTTTCTTTGTACTTGCACTACTTTGACGTGTAATCAATGATATGTATTTAACTGTCTTCTCAGACAATATGCCATTTTTGTAGTAGTCTTTTTACGTCTTTTTAATGTCTAAACGAAACCGTCCAGATTTCATATTTAGAATAGGGAGAAGAAAAAAATCCGTCCAATTACCGCAAGATAATAGCATTCATCTTTCTAATGCCTTATTATGCATGCATTTGGTCAGTGCTGCTAACCAATGAATTACTGTATGCATTTCTTTATTTTATTTTTGTTTTTAGATGTGATATTTCAATGACTTTAACTTGGAGTATGTCTTCCGTCCATTGTTTGACATTCCCAATGAATCATTTAACATTTTTGTATGAATTTTAGAACCATTCCTGTTTGTTTCATATACATCTGATATTCATTAGAATATGAAGAAAGTACATAAAGCAATAAATCAATTTCTATAAGAACCAAGTCTTGGGTTTTATTTTCTTTTACTTTTTTCTTTTCCTATTTCCATTTTTAACAGTCTTTTTAACATTTGGCACAATAACACTGTTTAATTTCTCTAAATTCTTCCCACCCTTGGAAATTTGAGATTCTAATTGCTTTGGGATGCTTTTTTCAGCATCACATGAGCACCATGGTGTAAGTTCTCTACTGCAACTTAGTTTTATGTTCAAAATATGAGCATGTGCTCCATCAACTGTTATTTCTTTTTCCTCCTCAATACTATATTTTACATTATGTAACCCTGTTTGTTTATCACGCCTCCTTGTAACTTCTTTTTGATTAAAACATTTAGCCATGTCACGTTTTCGTTTCAGCCGGTCATGAACATGTCTGGGAAAACAAGAACTTCATAAGAACACCTTATTTTGGCATGCCATCAAAATTGACAATTGTGTAATCTCATACTTACAAAAATGTATTGTTTGAACCAGTTGAAATATTTACTGGGCGTGACACATTTAAGCCAGCTTCTTTCAGTCTTACATAAAACTCATCGTCCTCCAGGCCCCATCCCCAATACTTATTACTCATACCATCAACAAGCAGAAAATCTTCCCTGTGGGAACAAATAAATAGTTAGTTGGGGCAACTTTAAAGTAACAATTGTGCTGTGTACACAATAACAAACCTTTATCTCCATTGATTATAAGCAAGACCTACCTTCTAATTAAAAGTATTCCCCCAACAAATGTAGTGTAATGGTAACGAGGATGCAACTCTGGAGATGCTATGTGAAATGGACCCCGTTTCACAGGGTATCTATATGACAGTTCCTGATTGACCGGTAGGAGGTCGACATCATGCATGGCAATATAATCACATTCCGCTTGTGATGTTAAGAACCCAACATTTATTAGCGATGCTCGGTTAAATCGGTAATTATCAACCTGTAAAGGTTTAAATAGATAATTACTCTAAAGACATACAGACTACAATATGTAAAGCAGCCATATTTTTACAGTGGCACTTCACCTGATTTAGGATATAAATTTTAAAATTTATATTTTGATGAGATAAAAACTTGTTCATATGAGGTATGAACTGCAACAGCTCTTCAAATCGATCACGATATGGCACTAGAACTGCAAGTTTATGCAAACCTTTCTCAACAGAGGGTTGATGAAGGTCAGTTCTTGATCGTATTTGTTTAACGTTTGAATCATGATTAAAGTTGTCACATTGGCAACCATCTGGAAAAGGGAAGGAGTGACGGTTCATAGAGTTATACAGATAACTTCACGTCAAAAATTCAACACTATGCTTAATATAGTTGAGTATTTATTTTAATACCTGATGACATTGGTGATAATGCTATAAGACAACAAAACAACAGTGATATAAAGATACACATGATAAAAAATTTAGCAGGTCTATTGAGAATTTTAAGAAATAATTTCTTTCTGCTAGGTAAGTTGAACATTATAGAACTAAGGGGTTGAGCGAGTTTACGGCAACATAGATTTCTTCGACATAAGGGGAAGAAGCTTTAACCTTATTTTTAAAATGAAAGACATTCTAATGTCCCGAGCAATGAATATTTCATTCAAAATGAGATAAAGTGAGCGATCAAACACCGACAACAAAAGGATGCCATATTGAAAACAAAGGCCGGTCCGGTCCTGCTGCAGATAAGCGATAAGTGGAATGTTATTTGCACGATCGATAGAAGTATGCAACCCGCCGCACATGCCCCGCCAGGTTTAAATGAGCTTGGATAAACCAGGATACACTGAAAGGCGTTATGGGTGGGTTGCCATAACATAGAATTTCGATAGAAAATTTGAGAGAAAGATTTGTTTTGGCGGCTGGAGGGCGATCGGAGAGCTCCCTGAGAACGCTCCACTTCCACTTCCGTCCTCCCACCTCCCACTTCCCCCCCCCCCTCACCCTGTTTCAGTCGATTTAGAAGTCGTTTCCGATTGTTTTCAGGGAGCTCTCCGATCGTCCTCCAGAACTTCCTTTGATTTCAAATAACACACACACTTGGAAGATTTTGGAGAAAGCTCACTGTTCGTTTTCGTAGAATGGACTTCCCTGGACAAGGAGCCCTTCTGCGCGGTTTTAAGCCCGTCTGAGGGAGGAGGCGATTTACTGCAGGTTGCCTATTTTCAGAGGTTTTTGTAGGCGTACCTGGCCTACCTACCCTCCTAGAGAGCAATTTGGACCGATGGGGGGGGGGGAGGGGTCACCCTTCGCCTCCATAAAACCGCGCCTGTCCTCGCCTGGACCCTCAACCAGAGAGACTGTGATTCTCTCTACCCCTAACCGTCACATTATGGTTCAGACTATAGAGTGGCTAGCTGCTAGTTCACACCAAAAAGGTGACTCGACCTTGACAGTGTAAAAACAAGTCTACTCAGCCCAACAGGGCGCGCCCAGTACATTGCTGTCTGTGCCCCGTTGGAGCAAATGCGTATACTGGCCCGCAGACAGATGTGCAGACGGGTTGCCTATTCGCACGGGGCCAATAGGCACGATAGGCAAATTCGTGCATGCGGACTAGCGGACTACTACACGCCTTTGCTCCAACGAGGCACAACGACGACCACCCCTCCCGTATCTCGTATGAAATGAATTTCGACAAACGGTCGAGTTTCGACGATCTAGACCACAGTTTTGACCACACAGTGCCCTCATGGGCCAAACTGCTATCGCCGCTACTAGCTGTCCCGGCAAAACTACACCGTTCGCGGGTTTTTACGGCCCCAACGAGTAGGCAACTCGCCAACTCTCGTGCATACAGTACAGGACCACTACATAATTACCAAATAGTCAGGGGTGTTGATAGACAGCCTACGATAGACTCGAATTTGGAGATTCGGATGCTAAAGCAAAACATTAAAATGACCCGCATAAAGCCATTTCTAGTAATGAAGTGATTTGCGGGCGCCGGCTAGAGAGGCACGACGGCCTATTATTTCCATTTGGACTACCAGAGCGACTGGAGAGGCAGATGTGTGGTTGGGCCGAACGCCAGCTTTGAACGAGACGTGAAGAGGTCCGAGAAAGAGAGAGAGGAGGACACAGGAGGAGGGGAAGGGGAAGGACAGACGACGCCAGCAGTGGCACGTCCGCCCGTCCGACCCGACCTGATCGTCCGCCTGTCTGCCCGGACCGTCCCGGCGGCGGGGCGCGGCCGTCGTGGTGCATGGCGGCGCGACGACGCGGTGTGGGCGCCTACACGGCCGCCCCGTCCGCCCGGCACGCCCGGCGAGGGAGCCGGCCTGCCCCTTCCAGGTACCGCACAGCCTTCACCCTGCCTCGCCCCGCCACGCCCCGGGTCGGACGGACGGGGCGCCCGGTGCGCCACGTCGCACCAACGTCGTCGTCCTTGCCTCGGTGCGTCGGTGGTTGGGGCAACGCTGTGCGTCCCGACCTGGGGCCAACCGCCCGAGCCAAGCCGGTCTGGGCTGGGCCCCCGCACCCCGCCGCGCCCCGCCGCCGGTCGGCCCGTCGCGCTCACCTCACCTTCCCGGGCCGCGCGACCAGCCCTTGCTCCAGCCCCCGTCGCTGCCCTTGCCCCGGGCCCCGGCGGCGCATTCCCCAAAATTCTCGTTTCGACGCCGGCCAAGCCCAGGTCGAGGTCTCCCAACGTGCGCCCCGCACCCCGCCCCGCCACCCCGCGCCCCGCCGCGGCGGTGTCGTGGCACGGCCGGCCCGCCTCGTCAGCGGGACGCCGGGCGTCTCCTTCAGGGCGGCGCTCTCGCTGCGCCCAGGGGCAGGCCAGCCCAGACCGCTGACCATGATTCTCGCGATGCACCGACGGAGAGATGACATGAGCCGCTGAGCCACGCCATGCATGGTCGCTGCCGCGCGCTCGCCCACCCTGTGGTGCCCGTGGCTGTGGACGTCGCCGGCCGCCCCGCCGGCCGCCCTTCCCTCCCCCTCCTCCCCTGGTTTCTCGATATTTCGAAAGTCTGAATCACCGTCGCATTGCACCGCTGGTCCCGCGGTTGGGTCGCGGGCGCGCCGGCGCGGCCGCACCGCTCCAGCACGGCACGGCGGCCCAGCGGCGGCCGCCCGGCCCGGCCAGAAAAACAACCTCTTGCACCTTTCTCTTTCCGCCTCCACCCAAGCCCGGACCGGAGTGCACCTCTCTCTGTCTTCGTCAATCACACAGGGCAGCATAGCGAGGCTGGCTAAGCCCGGCTGCGAGCGATAAAAGGTATTCCCACCCCGCAGCCCCCGCTAGCTCCGCTAGCGACGCGCTGGCGCCAACCGGAGCCGCACCCCGCGCACCCCTCCCCCGACACCTTGCGGATGGTCATGCCCGCCGTCGCGATGCTGTGTGGATGCTAGGTCGCGAGGCCGGCTCCGCCCACTGGTGGGTTACACACCACACTCGCGCTTGCTCTATATTTTCTACATTTCCCCCCCAAATCTTCCAAGTCCAAGGCGATGACGTCGGCGCCCAAACTGGCACGCTGGACGGCGCTGGGCGTCGCGACGCACATGGACCACGACGACGCCCACTCGCGGCGGCGCTCGATCCCAAGACCGGCTCCGGTCACTCTGGATTTGGCCGTGGCGAAAATTTACGATTCTGTTGTCGGGATCGTCGGGTCATGGGAAAGCGGCGTCGCCTGGTCGGCGCGGCGGCTGAAGGCATCGGCCGGGTCGCCGGGCCACATTGCGTCGCGTCGGGTCGCGTCGCGGGCGATCGGAACCGAAGCAAACAGCGGGTGCCGAGGCGATGCCAACCTGACGGCCGCGAGGCGGTGCCCGACCGACACCCGCGACGCGCCGGTCCCCTCCGCTGACGCTCGCCGCGGCCAAAACACATGTTGTCTAGCGCTTATCGACGAGTTGGGCTGGTCGCGCAGCGTCCCACTTCCCCTTGAATTCGACCAAAATCGTGCCGCCCACCATGGCCCGGAAGGTTGGTAGCCGTTCTGTAAGGTGCCTGCCTGCAGCAACTGCAACAAACACAAGTGTAGAAGATTTCTTACATGTTTTCTTACTATTTATTTACCCCGCATGTAAGTTGCACTGTGGGAACTTTTCCAAGTTTTTCATTGAAGTCTACTTCGTAAGTGGTGTCAAGGTTGGGGTGATGTGTGGTGACCCGGACAAGTGAATCGCGCTTTTATTGATGAAGTTCGTAGTGAACTCAAGAGACCCAAGGACTGTATGGACCTTGCACTTACCATATTTGTTAGTGAACGGTCGCTGTAAGTGTGAAATTTCCCGTGAATAATTACTGGCGTGGTTTAGAAGTCTTTTCCTGTCGATGCAGAGATTTGCGTGAATCATTGAGCCCAACCGGCACGTTGACGTGCCGATAAACTAATCCTAACCTGTTGCGGTGCACTTGTGCCGTCTGCCAGATCGTGCTCATAGTGCAGTGATTTTCATTTTATCTTAAAAAGGAAAAGTGTTACTACGTGGAATTTTGCTCTGTATCATCGGAATTTGTGTTGTGACTCCAGTTCTTTGGGTCGCTTGGAAGTGAATGCTCCTCAGGGGATCAACAAGTGTCTCAGCTGTAGATGATGTGATTTTGATACACCTTGTGGTTTCTAGGGAATTATCTGATTAACATTGCTGTTGAAAACTGTGTCATGATTTTTAGATAATTGTTATTTCTGTCTTATAACAGGTTAACACTGATGATGAAGGTTCTATTTATGTTATCAACAAACATAAATTGATAGGATAACAGGTGAGTTCTGCCACCTGTTGACAGTCAGTTATCTTATCTTCTAATCTATTGTGATTTACAAGCATTTATTTTTTTGAATTTAGAGACATAAAAATTTATTATCACCATCAGACCGACTGCAATAATTTCACAGTTCTCCAAACTACGTTACCAGGTAAGTTTAATAGCAAAATAATGATCTGGCTCCTGGACTTAACTATAAAATCTTGTATGATTATTTAAAACTGTTTGTAAAATACATTTGATATAATTTTAATGCATCTTTTGGAAGCTTGTGTAGGCACTCACAAAACCCGTTTTAATTAGGGTGACATTATTTACCCCACAGCAGGACTTATCTTAAGCTGTTCTATCCTTTGTCATTTCAGGGATTTCTCAAAGACAACACGGCTACTACAACAGAGATCAAGTCACACGCATCATACATTCAGCAGTTGGAGTGTTTTGGTGAGTTCTCACTAATATTTACCTCAATTCACTTAAATTCAAAACTGTGAGTGTCCTGTTGTCTGACTTCACTTATAACCTACGATTGTGGCACACTTATATGTAAATCAACCTACGCGACTATCTTTCACGCTCAATTTGAGACAAATTTCATCGATTCTTCTCTGACTTAAAAGACAGTTATCTGTCGCGATTGCTGTGTCAGCAAGTTAGATGCGTCGATACCCCGAGTGCTCACGGACGCTAGCCGCCGGCGGGGCGTGGGGCGTCGTGTCCGGTGCGCGGAGTAGTGCTGCCGCGTCGCGCCGGTGATGTGATGGTCCCGTTCGCGGTCAGAGCAACATTGCCGATACCCCCCAACTGCCTTTAGTGGGACGCTTTGCGATGCATCAGAACATCCCCCAGGAACTCACCCCTCTCTTTTTAGACAGTCCCTTGTGGTCTGTCTCAACCCGAAGGTAAAAGTTTCCCGTTTCGATAAATACAGGGTGGTCTGCAGACCCCTTCCTTTATTTTGCTTATACTGTACCGGATGCAGGCGTGCGGACGGGTTGCATACTCGCACGGAGCCATAGGGCGCCCATGGTGAGCGACAGTAGGCAAGCCCGCCCGCACGCATGCATGCGTTACAGTATAAGCAAAATAAAGGAAGGGGTCTGTGGACCACCC